TCCTGTCCCGGCCTACTAAAAATAATATAATAAAAATAAAGTCAAAATTAGCCGACGGAGTCTAAATGAAAGTTGTAGAGCTTAGTCTCACCTACGCGTGGATATAAAAAACGTCGAAAATGGAGCTCGTATGCGAAAGTTATGAATTTTTGAAGTTCATGGCACGCATACCAAAGCTTATCCGAAGGGAGCCTAGGGATGCGAGGTACGCCCAACGTTCAAGGAGGTACACCCCGCGTACATGTCGACACCGAAGTACGCCCTGCGTACGAGGAGGCTACGCCCAACGTACTGTTGCATTGTGCGGTCCGAAGAAGAGCCACGTTCCACCATCGAGACTTCGCCACGTGGAAGCCTGATCCGAAGTACGCCCAGCGTAGTCCGAGGTCTCGCTGCTATAAATAGAAGGTTGAGGCTGCCGATTTCTTTTGCCAAAATTCTTCTTTCTCTCCCATATTTTTCCTCGTTTTGCGTGCAAGAAATACCCCGAAGCCCCGATATTATTCTCGAGACCCGAGGCAAGTTCCGAAGCCCTGAAGATCCCGAGAAGTGAAGTTTCCGAGCCGAAACTCTGCCCGCGAGAAGCCCGGTTTTCAAGAAAATCATCCCGGTTTTATCGGAAAAGATTATTTTAAGAGACGAGGTGTTGTCCGATCATCGTATTATCAAGTAAGTGTATATTCGTTTTCTTATAACACATAGATATGAAGTATTCTTATAAAAAAATACGTGCTATGTGTTTGTATATTATTTGTTTATTTGAACTAGTTGTTGAATGAATGTTTTGTATAGGTTTTAAGTTGTATATAAACGTATATATTTTATCTACTAATATGTTGGGTAGAACATGGGTAGACAGTTGGTGTGTGATAAAATAAAATGATGAGAGGCCTCGATGTTGTTGTTGATCTAGTCATCTAGCGGAGTATGGATGATGACCACAGACTCATTCTAGACAGTCCAATGGAACACTAGAAGTCTCATAACCTGTATGTGTTGTGAACGATGTGTTCACCGGTATACTCTATCCCCCTCATGGTTGCCTTAGGATATCTATTGCTAAGGAAGCCCCTTTGCAGTAATGTCCGTCCCGATGAAAATCCTAGATTAGGTCCCTTGTAATAGTTGTTGTTTTAGGGACATAAAGTGAGAATAACTGGAACGGGTAATCGGGTTATTGTTGGTCGATGA